GTGCAATTAAAATTTTGCTTCTTATAACATCAGCAATAGGAAATACCTTGGTTATCTCAGCAGTGTGCCGGAAGACTTCTACTCTTCGCTCGCCTTCAATGGTTTTGCTTTCTGGACTCGCCACAACTGATCTGGCTGTTGCTGTCTTTATTCAACCACTATTTATAGCTTTCAATATGGCGCTGCTTTTTTCAAACTCTGACATAGATAAATGTGTTTCCGAAATTACATTTATAGCTCTTTCGTACACGGTGTGCACTCCTTCTTTAATGACAGTTACAGCTATCAGTTTAGATAGGTTCTTAGCAATCCAATATCACTTGAGATATTCCAGTATCATAACTGTTCCAAGAGTCATTTTCATTGCTGCTATGAACTGGTTAATAAGTGGATTTTTGGCAACCGTTTCACTATGGGCAGGGAGAAGGGTTTTCCACATTGTCATTACGTGTGGAATAGCATTTTGTCTTTCCCTATGTACTATTTTACATTTGCAAATCTACCGAAATGTTCGTCGACATCAACGACAAATCCAAGTACAAGTGCAAGCAGTACAACATGGGACTGGATTGCAGATGGTGCGATTTAAAAAAACAGCAGCCAACGCCTTTTTGGTTCATTACTTTCTACTTCTCTGCTATACTCCTATGGTAATTTCGATGTTATTAGCCAGAAAATTGGAAAATGGCCCTGGTTTTAAACCATGAAATGAGTATTATAGTCCCATACTGTGGAATACGTCATCTACTGTAGTGTTCATAAATTCGTCTTTGAATCCAGTGATCTACTGTTGGCGGCTTCGAGAAATGAGACTCGCTGTAAAAGGAACCTTAAGGAAGATGCTATGCAAGAATTGATTTCTTTCGAAAATAAGTTTTTGACTTTTTTCACGGAGACAGTTCTGATATGTTTGTGTATTTTTTTTCATAATTTTCCTCAAGAATATTTCTTCCTCCTACCCATCGTTCAAAATTCTTAGCGATTTTAGAGGTGAAATTATCAGTGGTAAATGAAAGGCCTCTGCTTCAAATGTCCCTACTTGGTCAGCCATGGCTTTTTTTCTGTTTTTCGACCAATAGGAAACGTGCTTTTCATTCGAACAAAGAGTGGTTTGGGTTCGCATTTGTATTTCTTTGATTGAAAAAATGTTGTGAAGTAAAGGCACTACACAGAGAGAAGGTAACTGAAGAAGTGTCAGTTATTAGAGCCTCGTCGAATTTGTCATTATGGGCGTCGTGTGCTCTTATTGCGCCGCCGTTCTAGGCGTTGCCGATGCTGGTAGAGTCTGAATAAATTAACAGAGAGTTTCTATTGGTCAGGCATCTCAAAATTAATGGAATGCTACTGAACTTTGTGAAGGTCAGTTCCACAATAAGTCTTAACCAGTTCCACAATAAGTCTTAACCAAGAAGTCTGTCGGTTTCCTTAACTCGTCACCTCCACTACCTTTATTTTTTACTCCATATTTGTATGTCTTAGAGGAGAATAAATTATAAATTTCTTGAAGAACAACTGGCGCGTAGGAAAAAAAAAAGGACAAGACAAGGCAAATCAAAGCGACGTGTGAGGTCTTCTGTTTATTGAATTGTGTGATGTTCTGATGAATCGTGCAGTTCTGTGTTCCCACGACTGTACTGATTAATTTTTTCCCGCGCCTGTGTCTGACTTACTATTTACTTGCGATTGATCTTGACAGCTTTTTTCGACTGATCACCTTTTCGTCCTTGGCACCTGCTGATAGTTTCTCTGCACTTGACAACAACTGACCCTTCTCTCGCATTTGCTATTGAACTGAAATGGAACAGTTATTGTACATTTTGGTATTATAACTGATTCCTCTAATGAATCGTATCTGCTGAAAAATGGCTCGGCAAGGGTAAAAAAGTAAGAGAGGAAAAGTATTTTCAGATAAGTAGAAAAAGAAATGTCGTCCCTCAGCGACTGTCTTCGTTGGTCTGGCGCAAAAAGTGATCTTTATAGCATTACGTGATCAAATATGCTCCTTACTGTCCCAGCTGAAACTGGAGAATTTGTGTTTGTTGATGCGGCAAATTGTTCACTTCCCGGGACAGATAATGTCCCCAAACATATAACAGTCTAAATTTCCGTACCAAACGGAGGTTAGTTTTTATACCGTTAATGTAGCCTCGTGGAATAACATTTTGCTTTTTGTAAAGTATGAAGAAGGAAAGGAAAAGCTTCACTTTCATAAAAATTTTTGTTTACATTTCTTGTCCTTCTGTTTCTACTTTGGTGAACAGAATTACAAGACTGTAAACTTTTTTCCGGACAAGGAAAATAACAGACAGTTTCAATTAAAACAATCCGCAAAACGTTGACATAAAAAAGATGTCTAAAATTCTCGATTTTCACATATATCTGAAAGGTGCCATAACGCTTATTGTAATTGCAGGACTCTAACAACGGTTAAAAAAAATTGTTTTCGCTTACAAAAGCTAATCCCAGAATGGCAGCCGCCACGGCTTTTCTGAGGTTTTTATAAACAGAAATACAAGACGGTAATCAATTAAAGCACGACGTAAGAAAAACGCAGTATCAATTGAACAATCTAGATTCGTTGACACAAAAATATGACTGGAATACTTGGTTATCACAAATAACTGAAAGGTTTCATAACGCTCATCGCAATTAAGGCACCATAGAAAATGGTAGAAACAATTTTTTTAAATACTCAGGGCTTTTGTTTCACACAACCAGAGCTGGGAAAAGTCTCTGCTTTGCACTTTGATAACAATCCCAACTAGAAGACGTTAAAAGTCGTGTAAACCTAGTGCAATGTCTTAAACAGTATTTTCAATACAATTTTTGACAATTTTCATTTGAATTGTTTCCATCAGAAGTACAATAGATTGCGGGAGTATATGCAAATAACCTTTATCCAAGAGCACCTTATGAATTAACTAAAACATAACGGTAAACAATTGGCTGACAGATTTTATAAGGATCGTCGCAGGTAAAAATAAAATTTAACTCATAACTTGGTATACTTGGTATTGTAATGAATGATAATCGATATCACCCGAGCTGTGTGTCAGAAACGTGCGTAAATAAGCCGCTCTTTGAGTGCACTTCCTCCAAACAGAACTTGCGTAAATTTACTGACACAAGATTATTGTTGACTTTGAGTTGGGGGTGAGCCTTTCGTTATACATACGTTCTTTAATAGAAACAGTCAACGAGAGATTTAAAACGGGTGGATGCTTATTTATTTGGACCAAGAGAAGACTTCAGTCGCAAGCCAAGGTTTCGATGTTTCCACGGGAGCTTCTCATTACATATTTTACTCGATTAGGGAGACCAAAATGTGCAATGGCAGTGTCAACTGTATTGAGGAAGAAACCATTATTCAGGCGGATACCTGCATCCGTTTTTCCGCTTTTCAGGTTGAACAGGTACCAAAACAGTTCGTTGTGCTTATCTGTGTAATCAACAGTCTGTTACTGATAACCACAGCAGTAGGGAATACCTTGGTAATCTATGTAATATTGAAAAAGGCTTCACTTCGCTCTCCTTCGATTATTTTGCTGTGTGCTCTCGCCACAACTGACCTGACCGTTGCTCTGGTTGTCCAGCCTATGTCCCTTGCGATGCTTCTCCTGGTGTACTCAGGGAAATATAACTGTGATTTCGAGAAAATTCAGGGGACCGCAACCTATACAGCTTGCGGTGCTTCCCTACTAACTCTTACAGCCATTAATTTGGACAGATTATTAGCAATCCGTTATCACCTGCGATACACCAGCGTGGTAACTGTTCCACGAGTTATGTACGTAACTACTGTAAACTGGTTGTTAAGTGGATTTATTGCAAGCCTTACACTTTGGGAACCGAAAAAAGTTTCCCGACTAATCGTTAACCTGACTCTTGGCATTTGTCTCGGCGTGTCTACGTTTGTCCATCTACAAATTTATCGTGTGGTTCGCCACCACCAACGACAAATTCAAATACAGGCAGAAACCGTACAAGCTGGAAATTGTTTGAACATCACACGTTTCAAAAAGTCAGCTGCCAACGCTTTCGTGATCCATTACTTTCTCCTTTTCTGCTATACCCCAATATTTGTTGTAATGTCCATGACAAGTAGATATGAACATAATTCCGATTTTGCTTCTTGGAATGAGTACTACAGTCCAATAGCATGGAATGCTACCACAACTCTATTGTTCATGAATTCATCCTTAAACCCTTTGATCTATTGTTGGCGCTTTCGGGAATTGCGACATGCTGTAGAAGGGACTATTAAGGAGATTTTCTGCAAAAACTGATTTCGCATCAGAAAAGAACGGAGCAGACTGACTCTTCAAAGATTTGCTTTTAATCAATCTTTTTTTTTTTAATGAACTGTGAAACTTAGGATAAAAATTCAGTCACTGCCCGGTATTGTCGAGAGCAACAGGGGTTTCAAAAACAGCCATTTACCAGCAATCTACCGCTGCCCATAAGATTTCCTACCACCATCTGTTATGCCTGCAAGCAGGCTCTCGTGTTTAGGTTTCGCCCTTTTCCGGGGACAGCCGCGTACAAAAGTTCTTGATAGCCATTTGTTTAGTTACGAAGAAATCACTCGGCTCGTGAAACCAAGTCTGGTTCAATATCTGCCAGCAAGAGTTACATCAACTGACCTTATACAAAAATGCCCGTCCCTTAAGTTTGACTCTATGGAGCAATGTTTCATTAAAGGTGCGAAAGAAATCCGCGGTCGTGTTGAGTCTGTTTAAAATAATCAGTGTAACGATGTCAAAAGAGTGGACGAATCTTTGTTGTTGTCATTGTTGACAATTTCTTTCAATGGAAAACAGACTTGAAGAGAGATAGTGTGGTAGTAAATTCAGATTGTGAGCCCACGACCTTCAAAGAAGAGCTGTTTCAACTAAGTTATTGCTTATGTCTAACATACTTTTTGCGGTTCATAAAAGCAGACGTAGCAGAAATGAGCAGTACCTTGTAAAAATTCAAGGCTTCACTGCGGGCAACATTTTAGAACTTTTCAGATAAATTGGTCGTTATATGGCCTTTCAACACAAAAAGTTGCCATTGCACAGAAGGTCGTAGTTACTCATCGGGGTGAATATCCAACAAACGAGGTATTATTTAAGTCACATTTTACCGAACACTACTATGATAATCATTGTACTTACGTTACTCTCCGTAACTAGTTTTAAGCTAAAATATTATTGTCCATGTGCATTTTTGTAGCTATAGCTAGGGTTTGATCTTCGAAGATTTTAATTATAGTTATTATAATTCTTTCTTTTCATCATACTGTAACTCCGCTGTTAATCTTTAATTCACCAAAACTCATCCAGTTCCCTGTCATTTTCAGCTGCTTATTTATCCTATTTCCAGGTGCTGAAAACCCCTTATTATCATAATAATAATTAGTTATCATTTTTAACCAATAAATTGTCAAAATTTAATATCGGATACAATAAAGTTGTTGTTGTTGTTGTTGTTGTTATCGTTTGTAACACATTTTCGAAATGCGCGATTCACAGCAGTTAAAAAACCAGCCGCTCACAACGAAGCAAGTTAAGCGAACACGTGACCAGTCCATCCTGTGGCCTAAAGAATAGTACCAGTATACAGTCAAATGGTCAGACAAACGATAAAAATTAGTTTTTTGAGCTGGTGTTGTTTAAAGTTGTGGCCAGTTAATTATTAGGCTCAGCATAGGTCTATGGGGCCAAAATTGTCATCAAAGATGCTACCGTGATACTTCTTGACTTCAGTATTATCGATAGTTGATCGTGCTGCAGACCTCTGTACTTTGCGGAAAGATTCTTGAAAGGGCATAATGATTTATCGGATTCTTTGAAGTCATCTGGGGCTGTGACTTTCCGAAAGGATCTTTACAGAACAACACGAAAGCTTTGCGAAACCTGTGAAAAGAAGTAGACTTTAGTTAAGATTTATTGTTTGTAAATCATACATTGAATGCTCTGTAACGACACTAAAACGTCATTCGACACATTGCAAGAGAGTAAATAATTTCTGAAAACAGTTACTTTGTTTATAGCTGAAATCAATAAGTCACATGGGTTTTGGAAATGAAAAATGGGCAGTTTTTAAAAGGAAAAAATTCCGAAAACCATCGTCTATTTTCTCTAAGAGATTCTGAACGGTGAAAGATTCTCCCTTCACTAAATACTTATTACTTGCATAAGGCTATCAAAGACTCGAGCCTTGATTGTCTTGATATAGTATACCTACCTCTGAGTCTTAAGTGCATAGATGACAGGATTTGCCATGCCGTTCAAATGCCCGAGGAAAAAGGCAAGGAAATGAGACCATGTACCATGCATTTTCGAGATGCTGTGTAACAACATCGGTAAAACACACATTAGGAGAAACGCAATCACAGTTAAACCTATCGTCTTCGCAGTATTCACGTCGTTTTTAAAGCGCCTCCCGATCGAACAAAACGTAGAGATACGTTTGTCGTGTTTGTACACAGAGTGCCAAATGGACGCACCCGTGTAGAGCATAATCGTGAGCGGAACAAGGTGTCCAGGAATGATGAAAAGCCTTCCGAAATTTTCGAAATAGTGTTTCCTGTATGCCAGAACAGGGGCGTCTCCAATATCAATATCCAATCCCAAAACAAACATTCCGTAGGTATAGGCAGCGGCAAGAATCCATACGATCAACACAGCTACCTTCGCCTTGTTCACGGACTTCCATGAATAATACCAAATGCTTTGAACGATGGCTCCGAAGCGATCCATTGTCATCGCAGTAAGATTAAATACTGTGAGGTACATGAACAGCACGTACCATGTCACGATGAACCACGATGTCGCACGTCCATTAAGATAAGGAACCTTGCAGGTGTACCACATGATCATGAGAGGCATGTTGGTCACAGTGTTGAGGATATCAATGACAGCCAAGTTTGCGATCAAAATATTCGTTACTGTTCGAAGAGTCTTAAACCTGATGAGTAAAACACATATTGCACTGTTCCCCACCAGGGATCCCGCCATAACAAGGGCAATCATCACGATTTGCGAGATCTTTACCGCACCAAAACAAGAACTCGTGTCTGTGTGGACTGACCCTTGCATTGCCACGCCAACTCACGGGAAACCAGTCCAGGTGAAGGAGTCCTTATCTACAACTTTTTCAAAGACGAAAATGACATCTGGTTAGCGGCAAGTCTTTTTCTTTTGACCCCGTTTGTCGCTTCATAAGAACGAGTGGCCCCATCAATAATTATCTCTTTTTCCTCCCGCATTTAAGAATTTATTTTATATAAACTTTAACGAAACTTAAGCAGGTGTGGAGTAAGGATAGGAGTGAAGCTTAAGATTCACTGGTTGAATTGAGCGTTCTCGATTTTTTTGCTTGTTCTGTTTGGTGTGCTTCCGACAGGTGCAGGTGCATCCCTATCTCAAGATGTAATTCTATCCGGAATACTTTCTGATATCAAGCAGTAACCCGGATTCTTTAGGTGGCACTTTGGTGGCACTATTCTTTGAAAAGATTATGCATTTTCATAAATATCCTCAAATATCAATGTGTCGCCATGGAACAAAAGCTTTAAAAATATTGGGCGTACCGGAGGCCATGCATAGACACAATTTACCCTAAATGTTCTCGCATATCTTACTTCAGCCCCCCTAGTGCAAAGAAAATATAATTTAAAAAGATACGCACACCTAGTCATCTCTATGTAAACAAGCTACTTTCTATTTCATCGACTCACTGTCCATCTACATTTCTTCAGAAATCGCATGGAAAAGACATACAGAAAATGTTTTGAACCGTATATGATTCCCTTTGATCTCACCTTACACGAGCTGTCTACCGGCTCAGCGAGAATTGAGCTTTGTTACCACGTACAACTATTTATGCAAAATTTCGTCAGTTGATTTCTTATTCTCGTTTGTCTCGGCTTTAGCGTTTATTTCCCTGACGCTTTCGACGACGCAGGTGCACAAACCGAGTAAGATACAGGTTCTAATTGTTCTTCGGTTTTGCTTTTCTCTTCTTAAACTTACTTCGTAATGTGTTATCTCAATATCTATCCGCTGAATCGCACAACACTCATAGAGGTTTCTCGAACAATCTCTTTTGATATGAGATTAACCCTGATGAGTATTCAATAACGAATCTTTAGTTTCTATCGCAGTGTCTACGATCTTGATCGAAATTTCCTTGTAGACCATTAACGCGCGGTAAACAGCGTACGCTTGGCATTTGCCAAATTACTGTTAGTGCCTTTTACTAGCTCACGGATGCAGCTGTAAAATATACTGTTTATGGTCCAAATCAAAGTTTCAAGGGGGAAGGGAAAGGGATGGTTTATAAGGAATAAACATCAGGATGCTTTTCTATCGCTTTTGCGTAAATTTTTCCTAACTTGGTCCCTAATAATGACCAGTAAAACCACAGAATACTGGCTAAAATAGATGAAATGTTTAAAATGGATTTGCATTAAATCAAACTAAACTTGCAATTAAACAAGGCGAACGAGTGAATCATGAATCATCTCACTTGCAGCTTGTGTCGGCTCCGTGGTGATAAACAGTATTTGACCAACAAATTCGACACCACCATAAGTAGCTGAGGAACACAAAACGAATTGGGCGAAGTATAGAGATAATAGCCTTATACTGCGTAATTGTGTCCACAGCAGTCCTGTGGGTCTTTACGAGCAGAACTGAAAGATCAAGGCGGAAGCAGCTCTGGTATTATGATTGCGAAACAAGGTATTAGAGCAAATACAATGAACCTAATTTTAAAACTAAACCTTAGAACGTGATGCCCTTTAAAGCTAATTAACATTGGACAATTCTAATACATGAAAGGAAAAATTGGTTCCTTTTCAATAAAACTAAGAAAAGTCTTTTTCGCAGTTTAGCAAGCTGGAAATTGCAAAAAATGACATTTAACTGGGATCTGCTCCTTGACTTCGCAAAATTCAATGGAGTGTTTTTTTTCTTCAGTTTCCATAATTTATGTTATTAGCAAAAAACTTTAATTTTGCATGTTGTTACTCAACAATTCAGTAAAACGAATGGTATCCCAAGAAAGCTGTCTCTATTCTATATTTTCTTCACCGCGTTTCTTCATTTATTTAATACTCCATGCAATTTCGTTAACCTGCATATAACACAGATTCGAGTACCCAATATCGCTCTACTTTGTCATTTATGACGCTAAACAAAAAAAGATGAAACAAGCATTACACCTGCTCACTACAAATAAGACGAATTTATCGATTCCTGCAGCTATTTTCAATTTCGAATATCTCACATATTTTAAAATTATTTTCGTGTATGTCTCTTTTACTGCGATGACGGAGAGTTATCTTTGTAATCGAAAACAAAACGAATGTTGCGTGTGATTCCTACTTGTTCATAGAGGATCTATGACAAATTAACTTGATATATATGTAGGAAGTTTCAGTGACGTTTCGTAATGACGATATTGGCGTGATAAAGCTGTGTTGCCAAAATTAGCACTGTAAATCGAAAAAAATATGAATATCAGATCTTTGAAGGGGTAATTTACTTTTTCTACTTGTGTTACTCCTTTGTTAATATCCGGCTCGTAGCTCTTAAGGTAAATAATTAAAATCTTGGAGCGAAAAAAAGCGTCGTTTGGGCCAGAAGTATCCCTCAACGGTTAAAGTACATAGCCGTGAGATGCAAGGACACCCTAAAAAAAAGGCATGCTTGCTGTGAGCAACTAAACGATATTTTTCACAATCGTTTATTGCAAAGAAGCGGCAATCGTAAGTTAACTTGGGGTTTGTGAACAAAACGAAATTAAAGGTTACATAGACGTACTTAAAAAATTATGTTTGGTTTGATTCAAAATTTTATAGAATTTCCTTTATCACCCAAGTAAGGCTTGTCCCTTTAGTTTACCAAGCTTGAATCACTGAGTCGCAGAGTAATTTCAAGCAAAGTTCCCGAACGAAAAGAGGTGCCATAGAATAACTGGGTATAAATAAAGATTATTCATTGCTACAGCCATGACTTCAGTCACTTTACATAACGTGCTCGTTGAGAGCAGAGGTGCAGCCATCAGTACGCTACAATGACTCATTTTTCGGGACAGAGCTGGGTAAACAACAGACTTTGGGCTCCACTTTTAATTTTTTATTCCTTTGAATATTTCAATTGCCTCTCAAACCTTGCAAATGTAAGTTATCTGTTTCCCTTTAATTGGTGTCGTAATCTCTCAAAGAACAGACAGCATATTGTCCTGGGTAATAGAAAAAGGCTTTGCCTTTGAGGAGATGACCAAGATCAACGACTTTGGCTTATCACCGATCGTACTCTTTCTTGGAACACACACATTGATAAGATTAGCAGTTAGAGAAACTCAGGACTTGTAGAGACCTTTCAGAGACTTTGCATTGCACCTTGGTCCAGTTCAGTAGTGTGGTCATGCTATCCTTATGCAACAATTCAAAGTTAGATAAGGTACAACGCAGGGCCACCAAATTCACCATAAAATTTGATGGTGGTAACGCACACCTTCTAAAAGGAACTACGAGGAAAAGTAACGTTACCTATTTGTGTTTTCATAAAACCTTAAGAGGTTTCATTAAAGTTGAGGTTAGAGACTAACTGAATTTTTTTCAGACAGCGGGTTAATGGGCTATGTTTATGGACGAACTTCAGTTGAAAAAGTCTGCTGGATGGCTTTGTACTTCTTATTTGACATATCATAGTTTGGATATGACCGGTTAGATTCCTTAGATTTGAGAAAAGGATCATACTGCCGGTCATTTAGTGATTTGAAAACCGCTGACCAGGCAGTCGACCGAAAAAAAGACTAAGTGTCACAAACCATGGTTCCGCTCTCTGAGCCGAGCGTAAACCAAGCGTTAGACTTGCGATCTATAAAGCTTTCCTGGATCGCTTGGCATTTCTTAGTCGATATATGATCGTCTGAACTGGATGAGTTTCTTTGACTCCTTAATGTGAGCAAAATATCCGACTGCCGGTCATTTAGAGATTTGAAAACCTTGACCGGCTGCCGGTCATTTAGCCAAAGCGTAAAAACTTCGTAAATCGTGTCTCTCGCGACAAATGTTGCATTTGAAAATTACAAGCACTTGTAACGCTTCAATACCTAGTTTCTCACAAAATCTTTCACTGAAAAAGAACCAAAACCTATGCCTATATCCAACACGAGATGAAAAAAAAATTTTTTTGGTGATTCAAAAAGAGGCGAAAACACAGATCAATCAATGAAATCTACTTACATCATCATCCATGTTGGCACATAACAACAAGGAATGAAAAATTGGAGGACGGGTGCCCAGGGAGCGAGGTCTGAAGTCTGGAGTCTGAAGTCTGAAGTATGAAGTATGAAGTCCCTTCTCGGCTTTCGTAGATCGGAGTGATTATTCTGCACCTTTTAAGTTTAAGCCAAGAAATTCAGCACAAAAATTTTCATTTTTACCGCAAGCAGAAGAAGCAAACTGATAGATTCTTAAACTTCACCAACCCATTCAGTGTGTGAGTCAACTAGTTTCTTGCCAGCCATACGTGGATACTCTTCAACAATTTTTTTTAGCAATCCATTACCTCTCAGAACGCTTTGGGTGGTTAGTGAAGTGATTGATGCTTGTACAAACATCCCGCACCAATTCAGTTTTCTGGTTTGCACTGAGGTATCCCTCCTGGATACCTAACTCTACTGAGGCAGAGAACTGTACAAAAAGTGAACAAATGCGGAATCAATTAATTTGTCGTTGGAGAACAGTAATTTTTTGTGACTAAAAAGTTTCCATAAATGTAAACAAACTGTGCATAAAAGAGAAAAAACATAAACATACCTCAATGATATCAATGATGTACTTTCACCAAACTATGTACTTATCAAGAAAGGAAATCATACTCCTAGGCACTTCAGATTTCATGAATTAATAAGGATTGCTTAAAAAACACTAAAAAAAGGAATATTTCTTACCCTCGATGGAAGCTGGAACTTTGAAAGCCATCCAAGAGGAACCCACAGGTAGAGATACTTTTTTAATAAATTAAACTGTTTGATAACATCTTATCAGTTAAGTAATTTTTAATTTACTAGATTTACACATTGGGTTTACTTTGTTTTATGCATAGTGGACGTAAATAGTTATCTGGTATATTTCAATACAAAATAGCAAAACTCACCGTTTCCGATGAGTGCTTTCCCCGACATTTCTCTTCTTTTAACGGACCAACTGGCACCTTGTGTTTCTTCCTTTGGGGTAAAATAGGAAGAAAAAATTGATAATGTACTCTTCACCATCCAGCCTTTTTCACCATCTTACCCTATAAGAACTTCCTTTCAAAATGCTCAGTTCTATCGCCTCGTCCATGATACAAAAATCCTTGGCCCACTTCTGCTTTTCATTTGGTGTCGATGTTAGTTCTAATTTTTCATCATCGCTGCTTTTTTGTGAATCGTCAATCGACGTGTAAAACGAATTCAGAACTCTCAAGTTGATTTGATGGCAAAGAGTGAGATCTGCAACGGCGCAGCCGTTGTTTGTGACGCCACAGGCGTCATCCCGCTAGGGAAGCCCGGGGGTATGTTCCCCTAGGAAATTTTGAAAAATGGAAGTCACTAAGACGTGTTTTCCTTCATCCTGAGCAGAAATGTCATGCTTTAAAAGTATTTAGATCCCAGAATTTTCTTTTTATTAAACCAATATCAACTCTTTATTAACATTCTGACTTACAGTAAATGTATGTAGAAGTCAGATGAACATGTTATAACGTTTGCTCTACATGCCGTCAGTGTGATCACTAAATCAGATCAATATCAACTGATCTCTCTTTACATTTCTCCTTCTGTCTCATCAAGTCAAATTTAATTAACATATCGTACAGATTGTTCTACATGCTGTCAATCTGATCCCCGAGTCAGATGCTCTTTGTTATAGTTCCAGGTAGCTTTCTTGGCACTGCTTAACAGATCTACAGGTGGTTCAAATGATGACTCTTTGTTGGCAATTTTGATTGCAAGCAGAGAGGCTAGTGCACCGTGAACCTGAAGAGAAAGCCGAAAAACTGTTTTGTTTTTTCTAATAAGAGCAAAAACTCTTTCTTCACCTGCATTGGAATGTGGTAGAATAAGAACTGTTTTGGCTACGTCACTTATCCTACCAAATTTATGACTACCACTTCCTAGTTTCAATGATGACAGATATCCCCAGATCACATCCATGCGAAAACTGGATGATGATTTCTCTTCATTTTCCTCATTTGAAAGCTTTATTTGGGCTTCATCCCAGACTTTCTTAGCAATTTCTTCATTACTCAGAAGTTGACACTCCACAAACTCTTCTTGAAGCAAGTGGGTTTCCCTCGCAGTAGTTGGCAGAACTGTGGGATAATTCTTCAGAAAGAATTCTACATCCTCAACAGAGGCATTCTCTTTCTGAAAAAAGTCCACAAATAAAACTGATCTCTCTTCCTTTTATCTATGTAACCCTCATCGACAAGTTTGTAAAGCCGTCGTCTGGTTTCAAAGCCAATAAATAGCCGGCCGTCTTTCAGTTGTTGACTTTCTCCTTGAAAAAATACTTTGTCCACAGTTTTTGTAGCCTTAATCTTGTTAATCTGAACAAACTTGCCCAGAAGGCGTCGAACAAATTCATTCAACTGTCCCTAGGCAGCATTAATGCAGGGATCCTCCCTCTGCAGAAACTTGTTTGGAAAGGTGAACGTTGGCAACACTGCCTGAAAAATCAAATGGTAAAGTTCTACCATGGGGTCTGCAAACTGTTGTTTCAGGCGCTTGAATCTAGGATTACCCTCTGTGTTGGACAGGAAATAGCTCTTCAATGCTGGATACATATCCAAGTTCCATCTCACAGCTGTTTCCAGGTTTAACCAACCTGTGTTCATATGTTTGATGACTTGACGGTATTCAACATCTAGAAACTCAGCAAATTCTACCAAAAGTGATTTTCGCTTAGTGCTCTTGTCAAAGTAATAGTAACTGTCAACAAGCATGTCTTCGAGGCTAAATTTGGAGGTATCATAAAATGCCTCAGAAGCTTTTCAAACGATATTGTGTATGAAGTGGCAGGGGCAACCCATGGAGTAGCAGGACGGACTTCTTTGTTTTACTCTTGTCATGATTGAATTTCTGCTACCAAGGTTGACAATAGTATTGTCCACACCGAACCCCACATATTTGCTCCATGAAAGGCCATGAAGTGATAACAGATCATCTATTTTCTGGAAAATTGATGCTGCCGTTGCGGAGTCAGTTCCCTTGGTTGCACAGATGTCCAAAAACCGACTCTCCACTCTACCAGTGTTCGCATCAAAAATCTTTACAGTCAAAGGATTCATTTTTTCCAAGCCGGTATCGTTTGAGCCATAGTTAATAAGGAGAATGGACTACACTTCACGATATTCATCGTTTCCCTTACGAGATGTGGTGCCATTGCTCCATTAATCATACATGTGGTCTTTGTAGCTGCAGCAGAATACTTTTGTGCTATCTTTGAGTCTGGAAATAGTTTTAGGAGCATTCGACTTAGATGTTTAGAAAATGCCAGGGGAATATTATTCCCAGCCATCAGAACTGCTATTTTTACCTCAGCTCTGGTAACCTGAAACAACAATAAGATCCTTGCTTAGAGTATAAAACCAAAGGCCAAATTATTTCATATTTTACTAATGTTGCAAATATCTGTTGACAAAATTAAACTTAAAAGCAGATGTCAAAGTACGTGTGTGAAGCTTATTCCAGCCTAAAATCTTGTAGAAATAACCTAACTGCACCTCAGCATTGGGCAACAACATTTGAAGCAATGCAATTTTCCAAACACAAAGACGAAAAAATAGCATTAATACAATGTGTATTTCATTGGTAAGACTGGGTCCTTACTTTCTCTTGGATGTTGTATTCTGGCTGTCTCAGAAAGCTTGTGATCGATCGGAGGTTGTTTTGCCTGTTCCTTAGGCGAGTGCAGTGTGCCCATCGCTAGTAATATGTCGCTTAAGATCTGGTTCTCCTTGATGGGCACATGACAAAGTACGATTGCAAACATTACAGTGGAATAAAGATTTGTCTGAAGTGACAGAAGAAACAAAAGGGTACTTTACTATCCAGTCTTTTTTTAACTTGCTTTTGTATTTTGCCGCTCCCGCATATTTGGCCTTCTTCACGTCAGGAGAGTCAGAGTCCGACTCTGAACTGGGATCCGCCATTATACGGTACACGTTACCGGTTCAGCATGTGAACATATGCAATAGTCATTAAACCCACTGGCCAGAGAAACGCTGGCTCTGCACAAGAATAAAGTGTTCGAGGCGAATACAAACCAAACAAGGACTTAAATTATATCATAAAATATAGTTTATCATGAAGGAACTTCAGTAAAGGAGCAAGTACTCTCAAATGCGTGAGAAATAATAGTTTCAGCGTGAGAGGGTGAGATTGAATTTGTTTGCGTGAGTCTCACGCTCAATGCGTGAGACTTAAAAGCACTGCGAATTGCTCGTAGAACTTGATTCTTCACACTGAAATAGAAAAGTAAGACACGGACATAAAAATATCAATTAATTTTTTCGAGGAAAAGTTTAAGAATTCGCAGAGAGGAATCCTAAAATCAGAGAGTCTCGAAAGAAGTCAAATTCATCTTGTGCAAATGCAGTCTCCGTTTCGAATTGTAACAGTCTCTCTCTCTCGGTGCCAAAATGAGAACGCATGACCTTAGTTGTGAAACCGCTGAGACTCAGGGGAACCACGCATGCATCCAATTCTTAGGTAGGAAAATTAAATATCTTACCGACGAAGAACTCGCGCCAGCTCAAGGTTCAGCGTTCATCGAGGTCAATTTCTTGAATTTTAGTCGCTCTTTATTTAGGGAGTGTAGTGCCTCAGTTCTTCTACAACTTGGGCAATGCCAAGGAGATCTTCATCGTCGAAACCGTCCCTTTCTGCAAGATAAGATACGAACAAAGATAAGTGGAGGAGTCAAGTTTGTGTTCATAAAGTTGCAATAAAATGTGTTGTTAAGCAAATTGCTTTCGCTTACCTATCCTCTCTAAAGTCTCTGGAGAAAATCCATGCGACTAGAGCCAAGAAACAGTCTCCTCGCTACTGTAGTTCATTGTTGAGTCCAACGCACGTGGTCTAGCTAGGTTCGTTCGACCAATGAGATACGAAGAAGGAGCTGCGGAGACGCACTAGCTAAAGAAGGACGAATTTTGGAGGGAAATCGCTTTTGTAACAAAATTTTAATCCTTATAAAGTTCACAGTATAAAGTTCAGTAAACCAATCGATAGTTGATTGCGGTTTCCTTCGAGTTAAAGATCTACTTCTACCCTGTAAGAACGTTCGATTCGCAACACATTAACGCGATAGACTGCCACAAAGTACGTAGTTCCGAAATATGATTCGAAAGCGTCAGTAATATCTAACTTTAGATAATACCTAACCCGACAGCAGTTACAGTACTCGTGCCAAAAAGAACAGGAAGGTATAAACCCCTCCCCTCCCCCCGCTAGGGTTTTTGGATTTTAAGGATGATCTAGAAATTTTTACTCTTGGTAGGTGGTGAGTTCGTGAGGACAGACCCGAGTGGGCCGCAATCAACCCTAGAAGCATGAGAAGTGATATTCATAGGGGACCCTATCGTGAATAAAAAGCATATATACTTAAAGCTATAAAATAAGCTGCAGATTGGGAGGCTTGCTGCTGCATTGCTTGTTCTATTTGAAATATGGCTCTTTGGACAGCACATTTCACGTGAAGTTGTATATCCGCGTTTTTGTTGTTGTTGTTGCTCGTATAAAATTGGCAACATTTCTCTCAAAGATCTCCCATTTAACATCTCTCCCGTGTTGCTAGCTGCTCCTTTGGCAACCTTGCTTTAAGCTGATGCTGCAGTTTCTATCCACTGACTATTTTTTATTTTTCTTTGATGCTGACTGAGCATTGTGCATTAGCATTAGCACTGGGCGCACTTGTTTCACTTCCCGTGGTGTGCTACGAACTTCATACGACATGTGATAGGAAAGAATATTCATCAGAATGATACCAGTTTGGAGAGTATTTATCACTTGCGCCTTTTCTAGTGCCTTCGTACATCTTTACTTTTCTAACTTCTCAGAAACTTGCTCACTGACACTGGATTTTATCTAACAAAAAGAAAGAAAGTCGCAAGGATTATCATTATCTATTACCTTTGAGCAAGGAAAGATCAATGCCAGGAGCCTCTGTCAACAAATCGAGGATTTCCTCATATTCAGCCTTTTATTTTTGTTTCTAGCATCTGTCTGACTTCATGCTCCATAATCTTTCTCCTTACCCTAAACATTTTAAAAGTAATCTAACAGTCACTAATTGGTAAACAATGGGACAAGTTATCCTTTCACGGGGACTTTAAATATGGCGAAAAGAAAGTACAACAATTTTTATTCGAAATCACTTTCAATTCCTCAAAAATCCCATGTTTTTAAAAAAATCCTCAAAATTTCAAAAGTCTCCGGATGCTCTAAAAAATCCATAAAAAACCGGCTTTTTGTGTCTAGGCCTAGATTAAAAATACCTAATCAAATATTGTGCGACTTGGGAGTAAGCATTCATTCCTTGGTGTCGGTCTTCCTTAACTGGGCAGAATGTTTCACGCAACACAACAGTGACCAGTTTAAGGATTCAACCGCTCATAGAAACTTGTCCACTCGCTGGGAAACACGTCACCCCTATAACCTTAAAAACAAATTGAGTGTGTTTAAAAATTTTCCGAAATAATTAAGATGCATTATTTGACAAGTAAGACACTTGCGGGCATGTCAAACATCGGTGAAATAATGGCCACAAAGGTATCTTATACGGACAACTTTGTGCAATTATCAGTCGTCTTCAACGAGCTGTATCATATTGAGGACGCTTGATTAAGCATGCTGCGGAGCACAATAATGACGATGCGCAATTCACTCTATTGTTTCATGCCCCAGTCCTCACCGTTCTGTTCGATTTTTAAACGGGTATTTTTTTTATTTTTGTTGGCTGCAATCTCTAAAGAAATCTGGTTGAATATTCTATGGTGTCTCGGGTTTTGATCTGAAAATGTGCCTATCTCAACGCTCATATAATGAGTTATGGATAGGCCAAAGCAGCGTCGGATCTCAGCTTGAAACTGATTCTAATAAAGATTAAGGTCATAATAAAGCAATTTCATGAAACAACTCTTCAAACCCAGGATTAACGAAAAGCTAAACTCGGCTCGTTTTGTTTGTTTTGCTCAATGATCCCCTCATAAACTCTCAATTTATGTAAAAGTTGTGTGGTATCTTTTTGTTGAACCCAAGGATTTTATCCTAGGTATGAGTTTTGATCATATCCTTTGTTGTCGCTTTTGCTCTACCAAGCTAGTCTTAGTTCATAAGCAAGTTCAAAAACTTTCGTTGCTGAAGGGAAACGCACTTTTATTTCACAATTCCCAAACAACATTTCAGCTGTCAATTTAGCAGCTGCAAAATCGAGTTCGCAATATTTTCAACAAATACAATAAGACTCCTGTCAAACAAGTTGACAGGCGCAACTTCAAAATGATTTTCTCAGGTAATTTCCACGTTTTATTTGCATTTGCAATATAGTTTCATTGTGCCATTTCAAAACATATCAAACGCAGTTTTCATCATCTCCATTTTTCACTTTTTATAGAATTTATATTTCTACTTCCAGTATAATTTTTAGAGATAACTTCTGTGAATAGGAGCTGTGAACCTCAATTGGAGATCGTATAAAGAACATTTGCTTTTGTCCCAAACGTTTTGAAAGGTGGACAGGCCTTAATTAGTATCTTTTATTAGCAACTGAACTTTCAACAAGGAGGTAATAGAAAACGTACATTTTAGAGTTACGTTTTTGTTGGGCTTTGTTCTCTAAGGATTTACAAATCAGGATGTTTTTCATTCGTCGTTCAGCAGAGGTATCTTTACGGTGCAAATGGCTCAAAAGGGTACCATCGCGTCATCGAAAACGGAAATTGCTGGTTCTGCGTGAAGCGATTAGTTTAGATTAGGGTACATTTCACTATAAACGGTAATAGATATGTGGGAAATTTAAATAGAGATTTGCGTCTTTCCTTTTCAGAATCATTCAGTTTGGAAATTACTTCCTATATTTTGTGCAATAAAGCTCCTTCTGGGAATTCAGGATACTTTAACATCCAATATGATCCAATCAAAACCGCTTGCTCTTATTGTTCTCCTTCATAAAAATCCTTACTTCGAGGAGAAAGTTACGCTAAAAGATGTAGATTGATACAGTTGATTAAAGAACTCATAAATATTGCGTTCTCTTTTTCAGCATTCAAAGCCAAGAGCATTGACGCAAATGGCGGCGTCTTCTCAATCCAGCCTTCTTGCTAAATGATGTGTCTTGCATGACAAAGTTAACAGAAAAGCAAGTTGGTCGGGCTTCGAAGGACAGGTTTTTTTAAAAATCAGAAACTGATTATTTTGGTGAACAGTTTACTGGTATCATTCACCTATAGTTAATGAAAACACGTCATCACGGTAGATCTCTTTTTTTAGAGATTAATAGGAAGTTTTTGATGTTCGGAAAGGTGGTACATGTATTTCAGTTCTTTCGGTGGACACACACGAGCGATGAATGAGACAACTCAGAGGAGTTTCAGTTACGACTCGCACAAGATCTTACACGTTGTGATGATTGCCATCGTTATAATTGGTTCTATAGCTGGGAACAGCATCATTTGCTTTCTTCTTGTTAGGTTTAAGACTTTGCGAACAGTTCCCAATATTCTTATTGTAAACTTGGCTGTTGTTGACATCTTAAACGCAGTGACCAACATGCCTCTGATGATCATGTGGTACATCTACCAAGTTCCGTATTTGAAAGGACGTCCAATATCCTGGTTCATAGTGACCTGGTACGTGCTTTTCATGTACCTCACCGTATTCAATCTAACTGTGCTTACAATGGACCGCTTCGGAGCCATTGTCCACGGTGTTCATTATCACTCGTGGAAAACAATCAACAAGGCTAAGGCAGCAGTGTTTTTTGTATGGTTTTTAGCCGCTACCTATACGTATGGAATGTTCACTTTGGGACTGGACATTGACCTTGGTGACGCCCCAGTGCTTGTCTACAGAATTCACTATTTGAAGAAATTTGGAAGGCATTTTATCATACCAGGGTATGTCGTGCCTTTCGCGATCATGGTCGTTATGGGAGTAATCATTTGGCGCACAGTGCATAACCACAGTAGGCGCATTTCGGCGTTCTGTTCTGTGAGAAAACAGAACAAAAATGACGTGAAGACAGCAAAGACGATCGGCTTGACTGTGGTTGCTTTTTTCTGTATGGGTGTATTGCCGATGTTTCTACACAACATATCGAAAGTTCACGGCTCATGGCCTCATTTCCTCGCTTTCTTTCTAACGCATCTGAACAGTATGGCAAATCCCATCATTTACTCTCTCAAGACTCCTCGGTAAATATTCATGTTGTGATTACTCATTTTCCACCTCATTTGCAATAACCCCCCCCCCGAAAAAAAAAAATTAACATTTGACGGTGACTTCCTCTTGACCTCTCAATTTGCAATACTAATAGGGAGTTATGATTGTTGTTGTTTTTTTCTTTTATCGTTGGTGGCCATATTAAACATGAATGTATCAGAAGAATATGAAAAAGCTTGAATAACTGAATCCGCAAATCAAATTTGTTTCAACGCACATTTAATCCAATTTTTTCTGTTAAATCCGAGTAGTAAACATTTTTTTTTTCTTCAACAGGTTTCGTAAGGCGTTTCTTCTATTCTTGAAGGAACCTTTGGGCAAGTCCCAACCACTAATGGTTTCCATGAATCGGGTGGATCTCAACTCCACAACAAGGAATTTCACTTCGAAAGTGAATGTGTTTCACACCAAGATCTCATCTGTTTAAATCATGATGATAAATTCTCTCTACTTATCAACTTTTTTATATCGTAAAGTATTTATTATTTGCAAACGTTCACTTGACGTATATGGAATACGTAACAATAATTGAGTTGAAATTGTTTTTGGAATAGATCTCACCTGCGTGGACCTAAAAAACATTCGTACTTGATGGACTAAGCTTCGTTCTTGCACACTCTTTGTTCGTTTATATTTACTTATGATCCATCTTAAGATTTCTCTAAGGTTTCTTTATCAACAAACAGCAGAGTAACATTTCTCTTTCACAGAGTTATTAAAACGTGTAAGTCTCTGTGAATGGACTCTAGATCTTTCGATTTCATCTTACCTTGAATTACCATCTTAGAAAATGTCCTTCTACTGTCGCTATAAAAATTAATTATAGCATGTGGCCATATTAACTGTCTAGCTCATTTACACCTGCTTAGAGCCATCACTAACACTTATAAACGATTGGATGAGAACCGAAGGAGACTCGATTTATCTGATATCTTGTCTCAGCTTTTCAACTGTCAACCTGTCGAAAACAGTCCAGTAATTATTTTTGCCTTTCACCCTGCTTTTCTTATCAGTTGAAGCATGAAGCTGTCTGTGAACCATGCAAATGTCCTCAAGTTTTGGCACCTTTTCATTTAAGGAAAAAAAGGCGACTTTAAAATGAAAACTTGTTTCGCTCTTTGATAGTTAAAGCTAAATTGGGTAACAAGAACCTACGCATTAATCATTCACCATGTTATGTCTGAAAAAAGATTGATACTACATTCTAGTCACAGAGTCTACTTACGTACACAAACACTGGCTGTAGATTTAGTCAAGTACTCCATGAAATGTCTGGAAGTGGTCTTCGATGTATTTCCCATTGACGATGCAATCCCAGGAGTTAATTCAGTATAGGCAATTGTTTGGTGAAGCGGGAAACGAATCCCGATCAGTTTTTAATGTGAAAAGCCTACCTTTCGAACGATCTCAGATAATCTTTAGTTCAACAATGTTCGAATATCTTATTGAAAAGAGAAGTGTTTACCTCTCTTTGCCGAGAGAGAATTTTGCCTGCCCTTAAAAACATGGACATCTGATGTAGAAAATGCATTTTTAAAGCTAGTATTATAAAAGACAAACATTAAGAAAAAATGAAAAACTAGACAAAACAAGGAAAAGAAGGAAGTGATCGCCTACATTTGCTCTTAAGAAGACCTTTTTTTATATGAACTATCTTTATTGACTTAATATTTACTGCAGAAAGAAATTTGTCCAGTTACGAAAAAAAAAGTTAGAACGTTCTCGTAACACAGGATAAATGATGTGACCCTACTCTCTTAAGGAGTGACATGTTTCGTCTTCATGTAAGCATGTTGTTCAAGGCGAGGAGGTGCATTATTGTGACACTTGCAGTTTCGCGGTATTACCGCAGCGGTAGTTACTCTATGAATAGGCCTCGGTAGGTGCGTTATGATATATTTACCCTCTATCCTCTGGCAAGCAAACAATTAAAACCATTATCTATCAAGTAATGAAAACAATTGGTGCTAGGTCGTAAGCAAGATTTAAATTTTCCTGAAGCTGAAGCATAAATTTAATTTCTACGCCCGACGATCCCACCGAACAGAGCTTCCAGATTATTTCATTTATTTATTTAAAGAGGTATTTGTAAACAAGTAATAGTGAAAGGAAACTAGGATTTTTCCTCGTTTATTGAAGGCGCTACGTTCTGCTTCATCTTGTTTAAGCTTGCCGACACTTCGTGTCCTTCTTTAGTTGCAAGTACACGTTACAACTACAAGTCAAACACTAAATCCCTCTAAAATAGGCACTTTTGTTTTATCATTGACAAGCTGATTAGCTCATTCCTTGGTTCCAGAGCATATCGAACCGAAAGGAAATATTCTGAGAGAAGACAAGAGAACTTTAGTTGTGAATATCGAGGGGGAGGTTATCATTGTGTGCAGTGTATGGTCGGCGGGGTTTAATCTGCACGGACAGTCATAAACGATGAATAAAACATTTAAGATATCTTCATGTCGTGACTCGCAAAGAATTTCGAATATCCTCATGATTGCTGTGGTCCTGATCGGATCTATAGTTGGAAATGGTATAATTTGCCTATTACTCATCAGATTTAAAACTTTGAGAAGTGTGCCCAACTTGCTTATTGCTAACTTAGCTGTAGTTAACATTCTTGATGCACTGACCAACATGCCACTGTTTATTCTGTGGTACATTTGTAAAGTGCCTCCCCTTAAGGGTCGTTCTATCTCTTGGACGGTGATCTCTTGGTATGTATTGTTTTTATACCTTATGGTGTTTAACCTTACGTTGCTGGCGATGGACCGATATGGGGCCATTGTGCACGGCTTCCGTTACCATGTGTGGAAAACAAAGAACAAAGCCAAGGTAGCGGTACTGGTGGTATGGGTCCTTGCAGCATTATACACATATGGTTTGTTTACACTTGGATTGGATATTGATTTAGGCGACGCTCCAGTGCTGCTATACAGGATGACCTACTTGAAAATGTTCGGGAGACACTTTATTATCCCTGGAATTTTGGTTCCATTCATGATCACGGTCATTTTGGGGTTTGCTATTTGGGTTAAGGTGCTTGATCATAGAAAGCATTTGTCGACCTTCTCCGGAAAAATTCAAATCGAAAACGGCGTTAAGACTGCGAAGACAATTGGCTTGACAGCGTTGGCGTATTTCTGTATGAATGTGATACCAATGCTATTACACAACATACTGAGATGCGACGGCAGCTGGCCTCACTTTCTCGCGTTCTTTCTCATGAAACTGAACAGCATGGTGAATCCTATCATTTACGCTTTGAAGTCTTCAAGGTAAGTTTGGTCAGTAAGGTATGCGGTGAAAAAGGTGGCCTTAATAATTTTCGGAGGACGCTTAATTCTTATGTTTACAAAGACTCTCGAAAAATTAGACCTTTGCTTAAAACTATATACCTGCATTGATCTGTTTTGGCATAGGTGGAAGATGACATCTTTCTTCCAAGCTGTCCCTACTTTTCCTAAATTTTATGGCTGCACTAGATGTTTTAAATGAACGACACAATAGACATGTCAAACATGTGGTGCCGTGACGGGACCAAATGTCTTCCTTTCTTTGCCTTCGTGAAATAAGACATTTTTTTTGTTCAGAATTTCTTGTTGCTAATTTATTTTTAGTTGGTATGTCCTTTAATTTCCAAACTGAGGTTGGTCCGCATCAGGAGCTTATAATTAAGCCTACGATGACAACAACGAGAACAATTAAAAAAATGAATTTCAATGAGCAAAAAATATTTTGTCCGTTTCTGAGCCGCTGTTTATACAAGACAAGACAATAACTTCAGTTTTTGTACTTATTTGTGAACAAATAAAAATTTATGTTTGCTCTGACAAGATGATGAAACTATTCGAGGCTATTGAAAAATAAGTCCTTTCAGAGAGGAAGCACCGTTTTTCTAAGGATAAAAGACTGAGCTCCTTTAGGCGGTTTATGCAATAGCCATCTGCTTTAAGAATGAAATTGAATGCTTTGTCTAGCCCTTAATTGCATCTTTTGGTATAGAGAGACCAGAGTATTGGTAATTTGTATTCTGACTGAGTCTAGACCAGAATGTCTTATAAGGTTTTCAAGGTTGTTGTATCTGACAGGCCTCTTAGAGTTCATCTGGTCAGGCCCAGGGCTGTAGCCACATCTCAGGACAAGACAAGGCAAGTTTCGAGCGCCGAAGGCACGAGCCACTAGAGGGGTCTGGGGGGGGTGTCCCCCAGGAAACTTTGAAATCAAGAGGTTTAAAAATGCTCTTTCAAGGATTTTCCGTGGCATTTTTCTTCAGAAAAATCAATCTTTATGAAAAAAAATTAAAAAAGGAAATTGCCTTGTCTTGCCTCATGCTTGCTACGGCCCTGAGGCCTAGCATTTCATTTTCCTTGAGCTGCTAACACGCTTGGCGATTTTAGACGCCGATCGCGGCAATTGGCGAAAATTACCCAATAAACCCGTTGCAGCAATTGCGATTTTTACCGATCGCCGTTTAAAATCGCCGATATCTGGCATGTCAGAAATAGGTCACTTCCTCAAATGGATTTTCCTTTCAAATTTAAGTTGCCTCGCATAGTTTATTTCTTCCTTTTTCTCTGTCCATTAGTTTACATTTTCGTAATGAGAAACTCGTCCACCTCACTTCACTCAAGTTGTACGAGGTGTTTGGGTCGCTTTTGTTGTGTAGGTTGTTTAGGCCTCTTTGAAATTCTTCGTATAGCTTTGACACTGGATCGGTCTGGAAGACTTGCAGTTAGTCAACATATAAAACAACAGTATTCGTTCTCCATACTCAAAGTTAACAGCAACATTGTCTCCACTCATGAATCTCATCTTCTGCTTCAACATCCTCCCTGTTTTTTATTTGTGGCTTACATTTACTAAAATCATCATGTCTGAGTGCAACAAATCTTATCGTGATCTTCAATGCTGGAACTGCTCTGCCCCAGCATCTTCAGATAGGGCCTCCCCAGCGTTTCCTGGAGATCCACATCTTTTCCATATTGAACTCTAGCTTCTGCACCAGAGAGATGAATCGTACATCTCTCTGACACAGAAGGACCAGTGCCTCTTCTCTGAAAAGCTTTTCAGCCTTTGTTTAATCTAATCTTGTGTTCCCCCTGTATCCTCAATGATCTTTGTTAGGTCTGCGCGAATCTCATTTTTACTGAGCTCTTTATAAAATGTATATTTTTTTATTCGACGGCCTTCGTTTTTAATTAAAGCTTCTTTTCTAATATCTTGTAAGGGAATTTTCCTTGCTTGCTAGTGGCATTTCTTCTGGTCTATTTCTCCCTGTGCATTTGTGGTCGATTTGGTTATCTCTCTTTTTATCACAAGCTCTCCAATGTTAGATTTTCCACTTTTTATTTCCTCATGGATGCTTTGTGTTAGTTGCTTATTTGATCGCATCACAGAAACGGAAATTTTTCCCCCCTTTCCCTTCTTCATAGCTCTGGTAATCCTGAATCCTGGCAAAGGAATAGAAACCTTTTGTCATCGGCAGCTAGGGAAATGATAAAAACCCTTGAAAGTACTATTTTATTTATAATTATCTTAACTGAGACCTGTGTATGCATTCTTTTGACAACTTCTAATTTTATTCGTAGTCTAATGAAACCTTAGAAAATGATAGTTTCCACTACTGCAAGAACTTCTAAATTTTGAATTATAACTGCTAAATCTCGCGGTCCTTTAATTAATCTAGATTCCCTTTAATCTTACACATACTTTTTTTTTTGCCTACGGTATTGAAGAAATGCAACTCTTAGACGTTAGCTTAGTTACAATTTACCACTTTGATGACCTTAGACCATCCTCTGAATTGAGATGTACATCTGATGGATGCTCAAATCGGGCAATGTCGACCCCTCTTGAATTTAAAAGGGCCCTGACTAATTGCTTTCCACTGCCTTCCATTAAATTTTTCACTTTTTCTTTCTGTAAAACATGACATGAGCATCTCAGTGATGCATTTTTCGTCGACTTATTCTAGTGATTTTTTATCATATTCTTTGTTATCGCTTTTTATTCACCAAGATAGTCTTCGTTAAGAAGCAAGATATTCAAAACCTTCGTCGCTGAAGGGAAATGCACTTATTTTAGAATTCCAAACCAACATTTCAGCTGTCAGCTCAGCAGCTGCAAAATCGATGTTGCTAAATTTTCTTCAAATACAATAAAATTCCTATCAATCAAGATGACAGACGCAATTTCAAAATGATTTTATCAGGTAATTTCCACGTTTCATTTGCATGTGCAAAATAGTTTCATTCAGCCATCTCAAAACATTTCAGATGCAGTTTAAATTACCTCCTTTTTTCGCTTTTTATAGAATTTATATCTTTGCTTGCATTCGTATTTAAGAGATGACCTCTGTGAATGGTAGCTGTGAATCTCAGTTGGAGACGGTACAAAGGATATTAGCTTTTGTCCCAAATGCATTAAAAGAAGAGCTCTAAGGAAGCTTTAATTCGCAGCTGAGCTTTTGACAAGTTGGCACTAGAAAACGTACATTTTACTGCAACGTTTTTGTTGGGCGTCGTTTAAAAAGGGTTAGCAAGTCAAGATATTTTTCATTCGACGTTCAGAGGAAGCATCTATACGGTGCAAATGGTTCTCGAGGTTACTATCGCGTAACGGAAATTGTTACCTCTGCCTCCAGCGAGAGCTTAAGGTTAGGGTAAATTGTATAATAACTGTTTACAGTTTTGTAGGAAGTGTAAATACCAATTTATGTCCTTCCTTTTCAGAATCATTCAGTTTGGAAATTACTTCCTATATTTTGTGAGATTAGGTATGATCCAATGTTAAGCAATTGTGCGTATTGTTCTTGATCATAAACATTCTTATTTCGCATAGAAAATTACCATAAAAATGCAGATTAACACAGGTAATTGAAGAGCTCATGAATCTTGCGTTATTTTTCCAACTTTCAAAGCCAAGAGCATTGACGTAAATACTGGTGCCTCTTTTCATCCAGCCTTTTTGCTAAATCGTGTCCAAGTTGTTTGGGCTCAAAAGGACAGGTTTCGTTGAAAATCAGAAACTGAATATTTTGGTGAATAGTATCCAGGTATCAGTCGCATATAGTTAATGGAGACACATAACAACGACAAATCGATATTTTAGAGATTAAGAGGAATTTTTTGATGTTCTGCTCCAAGCGAGAAGCTAAGGTTAGGTTACATTCCATGATAAACGCTAATAAATATGTAGGAAATATAAATAGAGATTTGCGTCTTTCCTTTACAGAATCCTTCAGTTTGGAAATTACTTTCTATGTTTTGTGTAATAACGCTCCTGGACATTGAGGCTACTTCAACATCCAATATGATCCAATGAAAAGCGTTTACTCTTATTGTTCTCGTTCTCAAAAATACTTACTTGAAGGAGAAAGTTACGTTCAAAGACGCAGATTGACACAGTTGATTAAAGAGCTCATAAATCTTGTGTTCTATTTTCAGCATTCAAAGCCAAGAGCATTGACGCAAATGGCGGCGTCTTCTCAATCCAGCCTTCTTGCTAAATGATGTGCCTTCCATGACAAAGTTAACAGAAAAACAAGTGGGATGGGCTTCGTAGGAGCGATTTTGTTAAAAATCAGAAACTGATTATTTTGGTGAATAGTTCTCTGGTATAATTCACCTACAGTTAATGAAAAGACATGACAACAGTAGATCTATTTTTTTAGAAATTAAGAGGAAGTTTTGCTGTTCGGTAAGGTAGTGGACACACATGAGCGATGAATGAGACAACTCAGAGGAGTTTCAGTTACGACTCGCACAAGATCTTACACGTTGTGATGATTGCCATCGTTATAATTGGTTCTATAGCTGGGAACAGCATCATTTGCCTTCTTCTTGTCAGGTTTAAGACTTTGCGAACAGTCCCCAATATCCTTATTGTAAACTTGGCTGTTGTTGACATCTTAAACGCAGTGACCAACATGCCTCTGATGATCATGTGGTACATCTACCAAGTTCCGTATTTGAAAGGACGTCCAATATCCTGGTTCATAGTGACGTGGTATGCGCTGTTCATGCACCTCTCCATATA